CAACACAAAAGAAAAAAAACCCAGAATTTACAATATACAGGAAGTCTGGTTATCAAAAGCAGCCTCCTCGAGTTAGTAATGAACTAAGTTTGGAATACAGTTATAACCAATTTGTGTCAATTTGATCATGACTAAAAGAAAGGGGGAAATGAATACTGAAAGTAAAGCTCTCAGAACTCTTCCTTATTTAGCTTTAAAATAATTTCTGTACATCAAGTAAATATGAAAACACGCTTCTATATTATATTAAAAATATTGTTAGGCATATAAAAACTTGGGTTTGAGAAAATTCAGAAACAAGTCTTTTTTTTAAGTATTATTTGTCTGGAAACCATTTAAAAATGAGTAGACAAAAGTCAATAAAAATGTTCAGGTTTTAAAAGTAAAATGGAATTTTAACCTAGTGTAAGTCATCAACTGTGTCGTGCAATTACAGTAATTATGCTAAAAACCTCGAATAGTGGTCTTCTAAGATATTATAACAAACTTAGGCTTACATGATATTATTTTCTGGAAATGGGGGGGAGATTTCTAAATACAATTAGGAAAGTGGAGAGCAACTTTTAAAAGAGGTTGAACTGAATCTTTAAAAGCAGTTGATTCATCAAAGTTTAAAGTGAGATAAACCTGGAACCCTTTTCTTTGCATAAATCCTAAACAGTTTGATGGTGTGAGGCTTAGCCAGAGATTTAATCTTCACATTTTATTAGATCCTAGAATGTTCTATAGACTGAACAGGCTGTAAAAAAGAAAGGAGTCCTCCTTATTATCGACAACTATTTCTTCTTCCGTTTACATGTTGCTTTACTTTTTCTAATGAGAGAGTCATAATCTAAATCCAATACAAAAGTTTCAATTTACTATACACAAGAATAAAAGGAAGTGAGTCTATTAAAATTTTTATACTAATTACAGATGAGTTGGATGAAGCTTTGGAAAAAAGAAAAAAATTCTAGCAGGAATGATACACTTCTCTGAAAAACAGCCCAGGGGCAAGTTCTTATACTGTTACTATAATTTAAGCAGCACTGACCTGTCCATTGGGGGAAAAAAAAATTCCAATTCTTATTTTGGCCATTTAATTATTTTTGTTTTAGGGCCAGTCCATTCTGTCAGAGCTAACAATTAATGAAAAACTGCCCATTAAAGTACAATTAGCTTTTAAAAGACAAATCCAACTACATTGATTAGGGGAAATTTAGTTACGGGCAAATTTGCAGTCCTTTTGACTATAGATGGTTAAGTTTTTCTAACTTTGAGTTTCATTTTAAAACTTCATCCTGGAATTTATTACTCCCTAAGTTTATTATCAAGCATCTATTTTATTGGTAAGCAAAATTCTTAACATTTTAAGTATTTATTCAAAGGAACTGGGGTCATCAATTTAAGTGAATTCATATCTGTTAATAATTTTTTATATCATCAATTCATTTGAAAATCTATTCTCTACGATTACACTGTTATATAAATTTTACTAAAAATTCTTGAAAATTCTTGTTAAAAAATAAAGACTGAAAAACAGCAACTACAAAACAAACACCAAAACAAAACAGAAGTCTCTACTAGGTTTATAGGCAATGTCAGAAAGATTAATGTTTGTTCCAAAAAACAAAACAAAACGAAATTTAACAGTCATTTACTAATATTTAACAAACAGCTGGTTTCTCTACTTCACTTCCTATTTGACTTCTTTCCCTCCCCCACCAGACAGGAAGTTGCTTTTGACAACAAATGAATCAGCTAGAAGTTAAAAAGCCAGCAGCTGATTCTTCATAGTTTCCAATCACAAGCTTTAGAAAAAACTTATCCCCCTCCTCTCCCTCACCATCTACTGAATTAAAACTTACTGCTATGAAAGATTAGGATTTATGAAAGAAGCTAACAACTACTAAATTGATCTTATGGGGGAAATAAAGCCAGTAAGCAGGATCCAATGTTCAAATATGCACACAAACTCTCCATTAGAATGATACGTCATATAAACTTTACTTTGACATTCAAGACACATAACTGAACTGCAAGAAAAAAACAAACAGATAATGACTAGATCAGCTATTTAAAGTTATATAGACACACATTTTCTTTACTATTTGGTATTTCAAGTAATAGAAAAGTATAGTTCATCCTGTATTCTATAAACAGCACTGAAAACATAGAAATCTTTTAATATAATTTTGTAGGAACTTAATTTATATAGTTCAAAGCATACATTTACTAAGCATATTTTGAAACTTAAAACTCAATTTTAAATCTAAATACCATCCTATTTTTACAAATTTCATAGTAATGAAACAACAATTTTTATGCCTTATCTTTTTTAAGTAGAAGCCTAGAATTATCAATAACCTTCTAAAATAGCATAAATGTGAAACTAAGAACAAAAATGTATTTACCACAATTATTCCCAACAACGTTTGAGAGATTTCAAGTGCGCCTCTTACCACAATAGCATGAGGAGAATGCACTAAAGGCTTTAGCTCATTCAGGTCATTTTCTGCCTGTAAAAATTGGTATAAAAGAAAAACAGAAATGTCACAAAGTGTACATCAAATATGTAATTTTAGCAGCAGTCACACAGCTCTATATGCCCTACTTTACCTTATCCCAGTCTCCTTCCATGACATGATTTCGGAATTTGGTAGCAGAAGGATGTTCTAAACGACATCCTGACTCTTGCATGAGGAGGTCAACAGTCTGGCTGCAGGAGAGATACAGTGTAAAAAAGACCTGACCAAACTTTAGGGTTTTATGCTTCCAAATAAACTAATGTCTATGAAAACAGTCCTAAAAGTTTTTAAGTAACCTCCTGATGAAGGAAAGAAATAGCTTTAATGTGCTTGGCCAAACAAACTTGATACTTAAATTGTCACCTACATTTACTGCAAGTCAAATTAAAAACCTTCTTGAAACCCTAGTAAAAAATATTCTAGTTTTGTCATTGAGGAAGTACACGATTTCTAAAAATGTGCTGTATCCAATCGGTTAAATAATGAAAAAGTTTGTATTTACGGTAATAACCTCACAACTACATTTTTAAAGACAAAAGCTTAGCCCCAACAAGGTAATATAGATGACCTGTGTCAGCTAAGAGCCTCTTATGCAGGCACTATGTTTGCACAAAAATTCGACTCAGTTAACTTTTAAATTAAAATAAATCCAGCATCAAAAACCATTCCCTTTTTTTCTATACTAAAAATAGCTAATTTACTATGGTGTAGGTTCCAAACAGTCACGAGTTATTTCCTCCTGCTGCTGTCAGCTTGCTTCTTGTCTCAGTAAAATGTTGTTAGCATTTACAAAATCTGTTTTTCATACTAATCCATTGCCTTAGAGAACAGAACAAAGTGAAATCTTCCTATATTTCTCTTTTGAGAGCTTAAAAGAGTCATCAAACGTGGTTTCTTCCATCAACTATTTTGGTACCTAAAAACCTTCCTTTAACAGCCTTGGATAGTTGTGTTTGTATTTTTCAGGGCTTTCTTATTTAGCTTCGTTTCCTTTTAGCTCAACAGTGTAATCATCTGAATCAAAATACTTGTCACTCTTTTAAAAGGGGGGGGGAAGCACCCCCGCCCCCCCACCAAATCCAGAAATGCAAAACTACACAGGGCCCGGCCTAGGAGCTTATTTTAATCTAGCCTTTGAAGCTAGGAAACTGACTGTTGCACGTTTCCCCCTCGTTCCTGCCTGGGTTTAAGGGACTCGAGGCAGCACTCCCACCCAGCCCACTTTCCACTCGGAGGCCTTCTTTGTGTGTCTACAAAAAAAAAATAAATAAAAAAATAAAAAAAATAAAAAAATCCCCGAGAGGTTTGGAGCCAAGGTCGGTGCCTACCCCTCACCCTGTTGGATGGGCCACAAGGCCACCTAGACTGTCTCTGAAAATAAATGATTCACCAGATCAGATGACCCTTCTCCGGAGGCAATCATCGCCCCGGAATCGCCCCGGGATTTCAGGCCGGGTAGGGAGCAGGCCTCTGGCACACACGCCGCGGCCTCGGAGAGACATCAACACCCGCTCTGACTTCATTCTTCCTATCAGATGCATTCAACCACCTCCATCCCAGGGCTCCCTGCCCCTCCGTTCCCATAAACACTTGTAGCCGCCTGCCCGTCCTGATTGGTGCTCGGCCGGGGCTATCTGTCACGGCTGGGGGTGGGGAGGTGTCCCACAAAGATGCCTCTGAGATATACTTGAAAAACAAACCCTCCAAGCTTCATTATTTCCACCAGCTCGAAGCCACCCCTCCCCCGCCCCCCAGCCCGGAGACCCGCTCCCGCATGTCTTTATTGACAGACAATTAAGCTCCCAAGGTGTGCGGGCAGGGGGCCCCCCAGCTCGGGCTCGCCTGCACCCCTCGAGGCCCCCCCGCCCGCGGGGCTCGCCTCCCGAGGGGGGCTCAGCCGGCTGCATCCTCTCGCCCCTGCCAGCCCGCTCCGTCTGCGCCCAGTCCCCCGGGGCCGGGGGGATCCCCCCACACCGGGGAGCCCCGCGCCCCTGCCCCCCCAGCTCCGCACCGCCCCCCCGCGCCCACTCGGCGCAGCCCCGCCAGCCCGCCAGGGCCACTTACTTGAGCCCTAAGCCATTCAAGTGCTGTCCTATGAGCCTAATGACATCCTCGTCGGACTGCGAGAGCCGCTTCTTCTTCTTGAGGCTGCTGCCCAGGTCGGGGGTGGCCAGGGAGGCGGCGGTGGTGGCGGCGGCGGCGGCGACGGTGGCCGAGGCGGCGGCGGCCCCGCCGGGGACCCCGTTATTGACATTCAGGCTGTTGCTATTGTTGCTGGCGGCGGAGGGGGCGGAAGGCAGGAGCCCATTGGCGTGGGCCAGGTCCCCCGCGGACGACGACGACGAGGGCGACGACTCCCCGTTCTGGGCCGACAGGCAGGCGAGTTCCTGGGTCTGTCCCTGGCCCCCGCCGCCCCCGCCGCCGCCGCCGCCGCCTCCTCCTCCTCCGGCCCCGTTGGCCTGCATGATGCTGCCGCTGACCAGGCTGGGGCCGCTACTTCGGTGGGGGGCGGCGGCGGGGGCAGCAGCCGGGGGGAGTCCCACCACTACCACCACGGAGGAGGAGGAGGACGCCGACGCCGACGCCGAGGACGAGGACGCCGAGGTCGGAGGGGAGAGGCCTGCTCTGCCTGCCGAAGCCCCGGGCTCTCCTGCTCCCTCCGCCGCCGAGGCTCGGGGTTTCTTCCGCGGGGGCGGGGAGGCTCCGCCGGTGTCCGAGTCGGAGGAGGAGGAAGCGGAGGCCAGAGTTTCCTCGCCGAGAGAGGCCGTGGTGGGAAGCCGGTGGGGCGAGGCGGGGGAGGGGAGGCGGGGGCCGGGGAGAGGGTCGGGGCGAGGGGCCGGGGCGGCGGGGAGGGGTCAGGGGAAGGGGCGAGCGGCGGGGAGGAGGGCGAGGAGGAGGAGGAGGAGGAGGAGGAGGAGGAGGAGGGGGAGAAGGAGGATCCGGGCCCTTTCCCCCCCCCCCCTCCCGGAGGCAGCTCGGGGTGCGCGGCCCGGGGGGTCGCGCCGGGGGGGGGGTCGCCGCGGGGCGACCGAGGGGCGCGGGGCTGCGCCGCGGGGCGGCGGCGGCGGCGGCGGCGGGCGGCAGCGGAGGCAGCTGCCGCCTCTGTCCTCGGCTCGGCTCCGCTCCGCTCCCTGGTGTGTTGATTCTTCCCCCAGCTGCTGCCTAATGGAGTCCAGGCGCCCGCGTCACAGGAAATGCCTATACTGCCCTCCTCACTCACTTCCGGTGGCAGGTATGGAACCTATAAGGGGCCTGTCACCCGGCACGTGCGCGGGGGGCCGGCCCGGCCCGTCGCGGGCCGCCCCGACCCGACCCCGGAGCGCCGCGGCGGCGGCGGCGTGTGGGCTCCGGGCCCAGCCGGACGGGGGAGGCCGGGCCGGGCCGCTGCCGGGGCGCCGGCTGCGGTAGGCCCGGGCCGCGCGCTCCCGCCGGGGTCTCCGGGCTCCGAGTGGGCCGGGCGGCGGGGTCGGCGCGAGGATTCCCAGCGCCGGGGGCTCCCCTCGGGGTACGGGGCGGCGCGGGGGCGTCGCCGGAGGTCGGGGCCAGGAAGTTGGCCAGCAGAACGCGGTGTGATGGGGACGAGAAGTCACCCAAAGGCCATGGGTGTGGAGAGGAGGGGAGGGACTTTCCTAAAGAGGGAGGGGGGGCACCCGCTTTTTCAGCCCTTGCCCGGCACCTCCTTCGCCCTTCCAGCTGCCTCTTGAGTCACTGGCCCGATTAGGCTGCAGCCACATCCACCCAGCCGTGGCCTGCAAAACACGCACCGCGAGGAGGCTTCAGGCGGCCCCCACGGAGCCAGGCAGGACGTTTTTAGGGTGCAGCGTGAAGCTCTGCCCGTTGCGTCTTGCCCCTGTGCTTCTGGGCTGAGCGAAAAGTACCAACGAGGAACTTGGGCTGCTTCTTCATCGCTGGGAAACAGCCCACCTGACCCCAAACAGCAGTTTATTGGGTTGGATGTGCTTGACGGCAAGGTGCTGCCAATTTCCTTAGTAGTGAGAAAATTATTTCACCTAAGTTCGCCCAGGGAAAAACACATAACATGCACCAAAAACGTTTCCTCTAGCTCGGGGACGTATCAGTAATTTTTATCATGACCAATTATTAATATTAGTAACTTAGAGGCCTTTGGAGACTGGCCTGTTTACATTTAGACTATAATAAAAGGATGCTGATGAGAAATTAGTCAAGAAGGCTGAGCTCCCTTGCTCCGCAGACTGGAAGGGGGGAGAGGAAGACCAATGCAGAATCTCATAGATTAACTTTGTCATATTCACCACCTCGCATCTCTGCTTCCAGGTGGCAGTGTAATTACTGCAAGGTGACTCATGTTCAGCGTTTTTGTTCACCCGGGACAGACCGAATTCTAGCTTGGGGTTTACAGGGCACTGTCCCTGCATCCAGGTGAGCCTGAATTACTAGATGGTTAACACCTTCAGTGAGCCCTGTTTGCATATTAGCTTTAGACCGCCTTATTATTAAAAGTGTGGCTTATACAAACTTCAGTTTTCGCAAAATAGTACCTTAGAGTTTATTGGGCCTATGGAGAATGGAGGCAAAGTTTCTGAGTTAAAGACTTAGAGCATTTGGAAAGGGACCATTTAGTGGGGGCTTGAGATAAGGCTGGAACTTCATTAACGAAAGTCAAAGGATGAAAGGAAAAAGAAACCGGACTCATCTGCTCTCTGAACGCTATATGGATATCCCAGTTTTTAATTTAATTTTATTTTTGGTGTTTGAGTCACACCCAGCAGTGTTCAGGGCTTACTCCAGGGTCTGGTGCGAGGCAAGCACCCTATACGCTGCTCTATCTCTCTGGTTCCCTCAGCTCTTAAATTTTTTATGTGACCTAGACTGCTCTTTGTGAAGTTCTGAATGTATAAAGTCCATGTGGACACACACTTTTTCTCTAAACTAATGTAATAAATTCTTTATAGTGTGATCTGTGTATTGTCTCTCAAAGTTAGCAGTGGGTTACGTTCCTTTTGTAAGTCATAAAATTAAAGTACTGATTCTTAAATACAGTTTTTAAAAAATAAATGGAAAGGTTAAAGAGCATAATGGTATCCAAATAAATTTCTGAAAGGAGGGTGATTATTTTGTGAACTGTTTTTTTGCAATGACATAATGAATCTGCTTTAGAGAGATAAGTTTCTTCTGCTGGTTTTTCTCCAAGTTTGAAAATCACTCAGCTGGTCCTGACAGAGGAAAATATACTCAGTAAAATAAGTCAGAAAGAAAAAGATAAATGCTGCATTATGCCTCTCATATGCAGCATATGAGGAAACAAAGCAAGGGAACAGACAAAACCAATCCACATCTAACCCTGGGATTTGTAGAACCAACCATAGACCTTGTTCACAGGCCCGAAGTGATAGTACATGCTTACCTTGTATGGGGCCAACCAATGTTTGATCCCCGGTATCCCATATGGTCCCTTGAGCCTGCCAGGTGAGTCCAGAAATTGAAAAAAAAAAAACAAGCTCAGAGCCAAAGAGGGGGGAATTTTGATAGACCACAGTAGTGGGGGTACCATGGTGGCAGAAAAAGTATGACAATTCACTTCTGAGGAAGTATGATAAAATACCCCTGCAACATACAATGATATAAATGAATTATCACCTCAAAAAAAGAAGAAACCCTGAATGTTAAAGTGACAAGTCATTGTCCAAGTGTCAACTGTAAAAATTAAGAGCTTCAAGATTTTAAAATGCCAAGATTGTGTGGGGATTTTAAACACAAACCTACACCAAATTTTCACAATGGCCTGGGAGATAGTTCAGAGGTCCAGAGCACATGCTTTGCTTGCAGAGGTCCCAAGTTCAATCTGTGACACCACGTGGTCCTTTGAGCACTGCCAGGTGTGGCCCCCATAGTCCCCGAGCACTGCTTGGAGACTCCACCCTTCTAAAATAATAGGATTTCACAATGATTTAAAATAAAAATTAGGCACTGTGATTTGCAGTTCAGTTAATGATGGTGTTTCATGCATGCCATGTTCAAACACCACACCCTGCTCCTACCCATCCCAGCAACTAGTTTTCTTAAAACTTGTAGAGTTTGGGCCATAGACATACTGCAGCTGGTAGGGCATTTGCCTTTCACCCAGCCAACCCAGGTTTGATTCCTTGCATCTGGCATTCCATATGGTCTCCTGAGCACCACTAGGAGTGATTCCTGAGCGCAAAGGCGGGTGTAACCCCTGAGCATTGCTGGGTGTGGCCAAAAGCCAAAAAAAAAAAAAAAAAACAAACTCCAAAACCCAGAACTCCAAACAACAACAAGCAAAAAATCTTTAGGGCTAGAGTGCTGTTACAGTGGGTAGAGTACTGCCTTGCATGCAGTCTACCTAGGTTTTATCTCCAACACCCCATGTGGTCCACTGATTGCCGCTAAGAATAATTCCTGGATATAGAGCCAGGAGTAACTCTTGAGCATCACTGGGAATCACTAGGCTACACTCCCTCCCTCCCCCCCCCAAAAAAAAAAAAAACCCAAAAACCCACTTGGTGAGTTTGTTAAAATTCTGTCACTGTTTACTTTCGTGTCTCAACCTAGCATTTGCCAATATCAATATTGTTCCATTTTTTACATTTCTGTTAGGAAAAGGTAGGATCTACCTTTCAGGGTCTCCAATATCTTTTGGGAGGGTTGTATTTCTATCACTAGCTTCATTCCTAACTTTTTTGTCATTCTACATTTGGCAAAATGGAGTTGGTGGACCTGTATGAGCTTGAGAGAAATCAGGAGAGAGCACAGTCTGGTAGTCAGAACTCTTCGTTAACTGGCGGACTTCGGGCCAGTCATTTGACTTCATTGCCCTGCAATCATTTCATCTCTTAAGAGAGAAGAGAATGACATCAGCCGACTAGCCTTGTAGAGTTGATGCATGAGTCAAGTGAGATAACAAATATAACATATAGTTAGAAAAATACTTTACTGAAAGGTCCCAAAGTATAATTAAATCATCTTCTCAAAAAGTACTTGAAGCAATTGAGTGCAAGTATGTAATTTTATTATTATTGGAATTTTTGAGCTGTGGACTCTGAGGTCACATTTTTTTTACCCCAGCCCTGCCACTGGTGTGCTCCTGTGTATCTATTGGTGGACACCTCTGAATACCATGCTTTTTATTGGTCTTTAGGGATTGGGTGTTTCCAGCACCTGTGCAATAAACTAAAGACTACCTAAGCTGGGAGTTTTCCTGCAGTTCCCTGCACTTGCTTACTTCCCTCTCGCACAAACATTCCGCTCATGCCGTGAGCATTCAGTACACTCCTTTAAGTGGATAGGGCCAGCACACCAGGTAGATCTAAGTGCTAGGACAGGCCTCCTTCTTGCATTGCCAAGGGATCCTTTACACTTGAAAGCAAACAGGTGGAAGTATTCACCTTTCCAGGGCAGTAAAACTGCCCTTTGCTCAGCAGCCCTCTCAAGCTCTTCCTGAGATGCACTTGGCATAAAGAACAATTTCTTAGGAAGTTTTCTGAAGAAACTGATATAACCTGCATTGCACACCAACCAATTGAGATAGTCTGCACAGAATGTCTTGAACTTGCTCCATTGGCATTGGCAGGTCACCTTTAAAAAGCACAACTGGAGGGGCCGGAGCAATAGCACAGTGGTAGGGTGTTTGCCTTGTACGTGGCCCACCAAGGTTTGAGCCCGGCATCCCATTTGGGTCTCCTGAGCAATACCGGGAGTAATTCCTGAGTACAGAGCTAGTAGTTACCCCTGAGCATTGCCAGGTGTCACCCCCCCCAAAAAGCATAACTGGACCAGAGAGATGGTACGGGAATTAAGACACTTGCCTTGCATGTGGCCAAGCCAGGTTTGATCCCTGGCCCCACATATAGTCACCAGAGCAGCACATAATAACCAAGCTCTGTGTACGAGATTATTCATGCAAACTTGTGAAAGCAGAACAAATGTCATTAATGTGCTCTGATAGAAAATACAAAGATTTATTATTCTGTTAAAAAATGCATTCAGTGGGGGACTGGGGAAACAGTTCAACCTACTGAGCACAGGCTTTGCATGCAGGGTCCCTGGGTTCAATTCCCGGAACAAAATGACCCCCAAGCAGCACCAAGAGTTACCCCTGAGCACAGAGCAGGTAGTCATTCTTGAGCACCACTGGATAGTCAAAGTCAGAATAATAATAGAACAATGTATTCATTGGGGTTGGAAAGATGGCTTCTAGGGGTAGAGTACATGCCTTGCACACAGGCCCAGGGATTCATTCCTGGTACCACTTGCCCCTTCCTAGACCCGCACTGCTGGCTTGAGTGGCACAGCATGGTTTGGCCTTAGAACCCAATAGTTACGCTTGTGCCATGAGGCCGAGTATCACCAAGAGTGACTCCAGGGGTCCTGAGCACTGCTAAGGAGTCCCCTTTTAAAAATATATCCGCAGCCAGAGAGATAGTACAGGGAATTAGGCACTTGCCTTGCACATGGTTAACTTGAGTTTGATACTTGGTATCCCATATGACCCCCCCTCCCCACCAGCCCAGCCAGGAGTGATTTCTGAGCTGAGCCCAGAGTGAGTCCTGAGCACAGCCAAGTGTTTCCACAAATATAAATAAATAAATAAATACATTCATGGTGTTGAAATTATGTATGTGGTAAA